TAGTTCATCTTACACACTACAAGTGAGTTTCCTCAATCTGGAGTCACAGAGGTACATTTCGGACTCCTTACCTCTTCCGGTTCCCAAATTTGGTCCATTTGATGTTCCTCCCTTGGATTGAGACCGTTTCGTCATGTTGTCCTTCATAGTCATGTGTAGAAGCTATTAATCCATGTTTGGGTAAGTATGGAACCATCTAGTTCATCTTATACACTACAAGTGAGTTTCCTCAATCTGGAGTCACAGAGGTACATTTCGGACTCCTTACCTCTTCCGGTTCCCAAATTAGGTCCATTTGATGTTCCTCCCTTGGATTGAGACCGTTTCAGTCATGTTTGTCCTCATAGTCATGTGTAGAAGCTATTAATCCATGTTTGGGTAAGTATGGAACTATCTAGTTCATCTTATACACTACAAGTGAGTTTCCTCAATCTGGAGTCACAGAGGTACATTTCGGACTCCTTACCTCTTCCGGTTCCCAAATTAGGTCCATTTGATGTTCCTCCCTTGGATTGAGACCGTTTCAGTCATGTTTGTCCTCATAGTCATGTGTAGAAGCTATTAATCCATGTTTGGGTAAGTATGGAACCATCTAGTTCATCTTATACACTACAAGTGAGTTTCCTCAATCTGGAGTCACAGAGGTACATTTCGGACTCCTTACCTCTTCCGGTTCCCAAATTAGGTCCATTTGATGTTCCTCCCTTGGATTGAGACCGTTTCAGTCATGTTTGTCCTCATAGTCATGTGTAGAAGCTATTAATCCATGTTTGGGTAAGTATGGAATCCATCTAGTTCATCTTATACACTACAAGTGAGTTTCCTCAATCTGGAGTCACAGAGGTACATTTCGGACTCCTTACCTCTTCCGGTTCCCAAATTAGGTCCATTTGATGTTCCTCCCTTGGATTGAGACCGTTTCAGTCATGTTTGTCCTCATAGTCATGTGTAGAAGCTATTAATCCATGTTTGGGTAAGTATGGAACCATCTAGTTCATCTTATACACTACAAGTGAGTTTCCTCAATCTGGAGTCACAGAGGTACATTTCGGACTCCTTACCTCTTCCGGTTCCCAAATTAGGTCCATTTGATGTTCCTCCCTTGGATTGAGACCGTTTCAGTCATGTTTGTCCTCATAGTCATGTGTAGAAGCTATTAATCCATGTTTGGGTAAGTATGGAACCATCTAGTTCATCTTATACACTACAAGTGAGTTTCCTCAATCTGGAGTCACAGAGGTACATTTCGGACTCCTTACCTCTTCCGGTTCCCAAATTAGGTCCATTTGATGTTCCTCCCTTGGATTGAGACCGTTTCAGTCATGTTTGTCCTCATAGTCATGTGTAGAAGCTATTAATCCATGTTTGGGTAAGTATGGAACCATCTAGTTCATCTTATACACTACAAGTGAGTTTCCTCAATCTGGAGTCACAGAGGTACATTTCGGACTCCTTACCTCTTCCGGTTCCCAAATTAGGTCCATTTGATGTTCCTCCCTTGGATTGAGACCGTTTCAGTCATGTTTGTCCTCATAGTCATGTGTAGAAGCTATTAATCCATGTTTGGGTAAGTATGGAACCATCTAGTTCATCTTATACACTACAAGTGAGTTTCCTCAATCTGGAGTCACAGAGGTACATTTCGGACTCCTTACCTCTTCCGGTTCCCAAATTAGGTCCATTTGATGTTCCTCCCTTGGATTGAGACCGTTTCAGTCATGTTTGTCCTCATAGTCATGTGTAGAAGCTATTAATCCATGTTTGGGTAAGTATGGAACCATCTAGTTCATCTTATACACTACAAGTGAGTTTCCTCAATCTGGAGTCACAGAGGTACATTTCGGACTCCTTACCTCTTCCGGTTCCCAAATTAGGTCCATTTGATGTTCCTCCCTTGGATTGAGACCGTTTCAGTCATGTTTGTCCTCATAGTCATGTGTAGAAGCTATTAATCCATGTTTGGGTAAGTATGGAACCATCTAGTTCATCTTATACACTACAAGTGAGTTTCCTCAATCTGGAGTCACAGAGGTACATTTCGGACTCCTTACCTCTTCCGGTTCCCAAATTAGGTCCATTTGATGTTCCTCCCTTGGATTGAGACCGTTTCAGTCATGTTTGTCCTCATAGTCATGTGTAGAAGCTATTAATCCATGTTTGGGTAAGTATGGAACCATCTAGTTCATCTTATACACTACAAGTGAGTTTCCTCAATCTGGAGTCACAGAGGTACATTTCGGACTCCTTACCTCTTCCGGTTCCCAAATTAGGTCCATTTGATGTTCCTCCCTTGGATTGAGACCGTTTCAGTCATGTTTGTCCTCATAGTCATGTGTAGAAGCTATTAATCCATGTTTGGGTAAGTATGGAACCATCTAGTTCATCTTATACACTACAAGTGAGTTTCCTCAATCTGGAGTCACAGAGGTACATTTCGGACTCCTTACCTCTTCCGGTTCCCAAATTAGGTCCATTTGATGTTCCTCCCTTGGATTGAGACCGTTTCAGTCATGTTTGTCCTCATAGTCATGTGTAGAAGCTATTAATCCATGTTTGGGTAAGTATGGAACCATCTAGTTCATCTTATACACTACAAGTGAGTTTCCTCAATCTGGAGTCACAGAGGTACATTTCGGACTCCTTACCTCTTCCGGTTCCCAAATTAGGTCCATTTGATGTTCCTCCCTTGGATTGAGACCGTTTCAGTCATGTTTGTCCTCATAGTCATGTGTAGAAGCTATTAATCCATGTTTGGGTAAGTATGGAACCATCTAGTTCATCTTATACACTACAAGTGAGTTTCCTCAATCTGGAGTCACAGAGGTACATTTCGGACTCCTTACCTCTTCCGGTTCCCAAATTAGGTCCATTTGATGTTCCTCCCTTGGATTGAGACCGTTTCAGTCATGTTTGTCCTCATAGTCATGTGTAGAAGCTATTAATCCATGTTTGGGTAAGTATGGAACCATCTAGTTCATCTTATACACTACAAGTGAGTTTCCTCAATCTGGAGTCACAGAGGTACATTTCGGACTCCTTACCTCTTCCGGTTCCCAAATTAGGTCCATTTGATGTTCCTCCCTTGGATTGAGACCGTTTCAGTCATGTTTGTCCTCATAGTCATGTGTAGAAGCTATTAATCCATGTTTGGGTAAGTATGGAACCATCTAGTTCATCTTATACACTACAAGTGAGTTTCCTCAATCTGGAGTCACAGAGGTACATTTCGGACTCCTTACCTCTTCCGGTTCCCAAATTAGGTCCATTTGATGTTCCTCCCTTGGATTGAGACCGTTTCAGTCATGTTTGTCCTCATAGTCATGTGTAGAAGCTATTAATCCATGTTTGGGTAAGTATGGAACCATCTAGTTCATCTTATACACTACAAGTGAGTTTCCTCAATCTGGAGTCACAGAGGTACATTTCGGACTCCTTACCTCTTCCGGTTCCCAAATTAGGTCCATTTGATGTTCCTCCCTTGGATTGAGACCGTTTCAGTCATGTTTGTCCTCATAGTCATGTGTAGAAGCTATTAATCCATGTTTGGGTAAGTATGGAACCATCTAGTTCATCTTATACACTACAAGTGAGTTTCCTCAATCTGGAGTCACAGAGGTACATTTCGGACTCCTTACCTCTTCCGGTTCCCAAATTAGGTCCATTTGATGTTCCTCCCTTGGATTGAGACCGTTTCAGTCATGTTTGTCCTCATAGTCATGTGTAGAAGCTATTAATCCATGTTTGGGTAAGTATGGAACCATCTAGTTCATCTTATACACTACAAGTGAGTTTCCTCAATCTGGAGTCACAGAGGTACATTTCGGACTCCTTACCTCTTCCGGTTCCCAAATTAGGTCCATTTGATGTTCCTCCCTTGGATTGAGACCGTTTCAGTCATGTTTGTCCTCATAGTCATGTGTAGAAGCTATTAATCCATGTTTGGGTAAGTATGGAACCATCTAGTTCATCTTATACACTACAAGTGAGTTTCCTCAATCTGGAGTCACAGAGGTACATTTCGGACTCCTTACCTCTTCCGGTTCCCAAATTAGGTCCATTTGATGTTCCTCCCTTGGATTGAGACCGTTTCAGTCATGTTTGTCCTCATAGTCATGTGTAGAAGCTATTAATCCATGTTTGGGTAAGTATGGAACCATCTAGTTCATCTTATACACTACAAGTGAGTTTCCTCAATCTGGAGTCACAGAGGTACATTTCGGACTCCTTACCTCTTCCGGTTCCCAAATTAGGTCCATTTGATGTTCCTCCCTTGGATTGAGACCGTTTCAGTCATGTTTGTCCTCATAGTCATGTGTAGAAGCTATTAATCCATGTTTGGGTAAGTATGGAACCATCTAGTTCATCTTATACACTACAAGTGAGTTTCCTCAATCTGGAGTCACAGAGGTACATTTCGGACTCCTTACCTCTTCCGGTTCCCAAATTAGGTCCATTTGATGTTCCTCCCTTGGATTGAGACCGTTTCAGTCATGTTTGTCCTCATAGTCATGTGTAGAAGCTATTAATCCATGTTTGGGTAAGTATGGAACCATCTAGTTCATCTTATACACTACAAGTGAGTTTCCTCAATCTGGAGTCACAGAGGTACATTTCGGACTCCTTACCTCTTCCGGTTCCCAAATTAGGTCCATTTGATGTTCCTCCCTTGGATTGAGACCGTTTCAGTCATGTTTGTCCTCATAGTCATGTGTAGAAGCTATTAATCCATGTTTGGGTAAGTATGGAACCATCTAGTTCATCTTATACACTACAAGTGAGTTTCCTCAATCTGGAGTCACAGAGGTACATTTCGGACTCCTTACCTCTTCCGGTTCCCAAATTAGGTCCATTTGATGTTCCTCCCTTGGATTGAGACCGTTTCAGTCATGTTTGTCCTCATAGTCATGTGTAGAAGCTATTAATCCATGTTTGGGTAAGTATGGAACCATCTAGTTCATCTTATACACTACAAGTGAGTTTCCTCAATCTGGAGTCACAGAGGTACATTTCGGACTCCTTACCTCTTCCGGTTCCCAAATTAGGTCCATTTGATGTTCCTCCCTTGGATTGAGACCGTTTCAGTCATGTTTGTCCTCATAGTCATGTGTAGAAGCTATTAATCCATGTTTGGGTAAGTATGGAACCATCTAGTT